TCACTTGGGTTGTTACCGACATCTGGTGAAAATTTCATGTCATTAGCACCTCTAGTAATATATTTACTGAGAAAATTGGTGACGTGTTCAATACTTATTTTACCCGCTGTATAGGCACCAGAATCTCAAAACAATATCAACAGCAGAATAAACTGTTTGTCAGATAAATTTTGACAATTTTTTCATGTGTTCATCCCACATACTCAGCTCTACTGCTCATCCTACAAATGCCATGTACCTTACAAATGTGGCACCATTTAAAACGGAGTAAGATTTATTACCACAAAGCATTGTTACAACAAATAAATCATCTGCTAATTTACTTACTTTTTGAGCCAAGTGTTTACATCAGAATCAGAATTGCTTTATTCTCATTCACACACAAAATAAGAGATGCAATGCAGAATGAAATTTGCAGTTTAGATCATCCGTTCAAAGGACACACATACCATGGTAGAACGAATGAACAGGTCTTGCACAACATGGTTGTGTACCTTTTGCAGCTTAGAAAAACAACAGGAGAGGTGAGTTTAAAAAGATGCTCTGTTCCTATGCTTACTCAACACAGAATCATGTGCACAAAAAAACAACTTGCGAGAGCAAGGGGGCTGGGGATCAAACACATGGTGCGGGGGCGGGATTCAGTGGAGCTGGTGACGTTTTAGGTTAATACTCAGTGCTGGAAGCAATCCAAGACCAGGACCCGCCAGAGTCCAGAGACAAATCTTATACTCCTAAGCTCAGTTACAGAGTTCAGGGTTTTTATTATTTTAGGCCCTTTATCCGTTACCACAGCCTTCAGACTGATCCATATGGATGATACGGGGATAGGAGTGGGGAATGAAGCCTTTGTTGACATATCAACCAGGGAAGTTTTGATAACTGTTGTTGTGGAAATACTTATTAAAAGACAGAAACATGTGAATAAAAAAAAAAGATGCACTTTGTGGAGTGGTCGTCGTGATGATTTATTAAGATTTGCAATTGCAAAAATGGTCACAGTGTGAACAGGTCTCAGCAAGGATCTGGTCATGGTGCAAATGGACAACAAAGTTTTTAGGAAGTCAGTTTTACATAACAGGCAGAGCAATGAACAACCAATGAGAAAACAAGTTTCACAGTAACTTTGAGAAGGACATGGAAAAGACCGTGGTGCCTCAGAATCATAAGGATAGATAATGACATCGTAGCAGTTATCAAAAAGATACAAATAAAATGTCAAGACATTTTGAACTTAATAATCTGCA